GCCCGCCCCGGACCCTGAGCGCATCCAGCGCCTCCGCCGCCTCATGGTGGCCAAGGAGGAAGGGGACGGGGCCGCCGGGGCGCGCCGCCGGGGCCCGGGTCGGAGCAGGAAGGCGCCGCGCAACGTGCTCACGCGGATGCCCTGTGAGTCCGGCCGGCCGGGCGGGCGGGGAGCGGCCGGGTCCAGAAGGGGGCGGCCGAGGGGGCTATTGCGGGGTGACAGGGACTGGGCGTGGGGCTGCACGGATTAGGGCGAGGGTCTGGGTGAAGGCTTGCAAAGACAGCGACCGTGGGGAGGTTCTGCTTGCGTACTGTGGGCAGTGGGGGCGTGGGGAGGGACATCTTGAGTGATGAAGGGTCTGCATGAGCAGTGGGGGAAGAGTGGAGGCTCTAGAGGTAATAAGGAGCCATGGGGAGGGTCTGCGTGGGCAACAGGTGTAGAAGGTCTGCAAAGGTGATGGGGTCCATAGTGACTCCAGGGGTGATGAGGAGCCTGCGGAGAGGATCTGCAGCAGTGATGGGGTCTGGAGAGGTGCTGAGGCCTGGAAACAGGGCATCATAGGGAGCGTCTGCAGAGGTGATAAGAGGTCTTGGGGACCACACAAAGAGGAGGTGGTGCACAGCCAGTATCAGGGGAAGGAGAGTGTTTGGTCAGTGGGATTCGAGGGTGATGGGATGGAGTGTGGGAGGTCTGTTCAGGTAGCAAAGAGGACATAATCTCATAACCCCTGCACATTAAGTGACGGCTCATTCTCGGTTGCTCTAAGCAGGAGAAGGGCTGCAGGGTCTTGATACACATATATTCACATTACCAAATCACAAGTGTTGGAAGGCAGCAGCCACAAAGTGCCACTAAAACACAGAGACTGTTTTACAGCTACTCTGCCAGGCTGGGTGCAGGACTGTGTCTGTCAGGCTCATATTACCATATGTGCGGGTTATTTTAAGTTCTGAAGGTGTAAATGGCACAAGGGAATTTCTTGGAGCCTCCTAATAGATCCTTAGAGTAAAGCTGTAAACAGCCAAGGTTGCTAATGTGTGAGTTTGGTCCTGTATAAATGGAATAAAAACAGGCCAGGGTTATATCTTTTGTCATCTGGCAAGCAGTTCTGACATCTGCCCAGTGAACACAATGACCTACTTAGCCATTGAAACCATCTGTATCCTTATAGCTAAATTGTGACATTATTAACTCACTGCCTTTGGAATAGAGGGTTATGCTAAGCAAGGGAATATTTTGTTTCATTCCTAGAAATGTATTTATTAAGAGAGAAACATCCTGAAAAGCTGTGTGCTGTGAAGGGTGCCTTTGTCGGATGACTTCTCCTGCCTGACCATCCCTGCCCAAGCCAGGGTTTACCCCAGCCTGCTTGCCCAGCAGTAACGCAAAGATAGAGTATGCGTGTTCCTAACATGAGAGTAGTCTGGGGGGCTTATTCTGCCTGTGCTCTGTGCCACTATCAGATTCTTGAAATGCACTTCAAGTCTCAGATAGTAACATTTATTTCCATTTTTCCAGTTATTACTTTGCCACTGAGATAGCCAGGGAAAAGAAATATTTCTATGTGGTTTGCTATATTGGTGTGACAAAGCTTCATGAAGGCCAGCTTTGTCGACTTTCCACTACTAAATATATGTCTGGGGCCGGCCCCGTGGCTTAGCGGTTAAGAGCGCGCGCTCCGCTGCTGGCGGCCCGGGTTTGGATCCCGGGCGCGCACCGAGGCACCGCTTCTCCTGCCATGCTGAGGATGCGTCCCACATACAGCAGCTAGAAGGATGTGCAGCTGTGACATGCAACTATCTACTGGGGCTTTGGGGGGAAAAATAAATAAATAAAATCTTTAAATATATGCCTGGAATCAAGGTCTCAGAGAATGTGTCCCAGGCATTGAAAATTTTAGTTACACCACTGGAAACAGTTGAGTGTACATGATAGAGGTAGGTAGACATCACAGAGTCAATGACCTTCAGAAAGAAACGAACAAGTACAGAATAATGTTGTAAACCAGTGTTACTGCAATAAAAATATTTTTTTAGTTAAAAAAAACAAGGACAGAAGCATGGGTGAGGATTAGATTTATTCAAAAAAGTTCCTATAAGAGGTCAGCTTTAGGTCTTGAAGTTGAGGAAGGACATGGTCAAGGATAACAGTAATTATTTAAAAATCAGGCTATTGAAGTGTAATTTATATGTTGAAAATTCACCCTTTTAAAGTGAATTTTGACAAATGTATAGTCATGAAAGCAACCACCACAATCAAGACACGAACATTTCTATCACCTCAAAAAGTTTCCTCCTGCCTGTTTGTAAGTCAGATGATCATTTTATTGTTGCTAATTATAGCTACTGTTATTGAGCACATATGTGCTTTACCCTTTAGATACATTCTATCTCATTTTACCCTTGGATATTACTGTATAGATGAGGAAACTGAGGCTTATTGAGCTTAACTACTTGCCCAGGGTCACATAGCTAGTTATTTTGCAGCTGAGACTTAATCCTGGGTTTGCCCAACTCTGGGGCCTGTGTGCTTAACCATTATGCTCATCTCCGGAGAGGGAAGAGGAGAGTGCATCCTAATGTTTCCTTGTTTGCTTGTTGTGGTGAATGGAGGGTGCCGCAGGTGTGAGGCAGAGGGTTCGTGTTCAGAGCAATGAGAACTGAATTTGGGTCCAGAGGGATTTGTTGCTAGAATGCTTTGAAGACCCGAACCAAAGAGTTTCTGTTTGACTTTGTCGTGATAGAGAGTGGAAACCATGCTGTATATTCTTATGCAAAAGCACTTTTAGGGCAGATGTTTCTAGGAGCTGAGTTTCCAGTAGTAAAGTGATTTGGGTGGGCGAGGGGCATGTAGAGCACAGCACAGGCTCAGAGGATTGACTGCCTGGGTCTGAACACTGGCTCCTCCACTTTCCAGCTGTTTTACTTTAGGCAAGTTACTTAAACTCTTTGGGGCCTCAGTTTCCTCACCTATAAAATGAGGACAATATTAGTATCTACCTCTAGTTGTAAGGTTTAGATTCCTTAACACATTTAAAGCGTTTACAACAGTGATGTTCCCTAGTACACAGGGAAGTCCTCAATGAATGTTAAATGTCACTGTTATTGTTGTAGGTGGTGGTTGTAGTTATTATTATTTTTAGACTGTCATGGTTAAAATCCCCAGGTCAGGATCCATATAATCTGCCTATATTGAGTGTTGGCTCAGCTGTTTACTAGGTAAGTAACATTGAGCAAATTTAAACCTTTCTGAGTCTCAGTTTCTTCATCTATAAAATGGGGTGAAATAATAGTACCCATGTGTTAGAATTGTGAGGATTAAATAAAATAATGTATATAAAGTTAAACTTACCCCAGGGCCTGGCTCATACTGAGGGCTCAGTAGTTGGGGATCGTAATGGTGACAGTGATGATGATGATGTTGTTGATGTGAGTGAGGGGAGCTAGGAGACTGTTGCAGTAAACCAATCATATATAATATAAATATATAAATATATATATATAATATAAATATATAAATATATATATATAATATAAATATATGTAATATCTATAAAATATATTATATATTTTTTGTCATATTAAGTTTTAGAAGCCTGGTATGAGCTCCATTTGGAGTTCGTCACAGAGAGTACTGGAAAGAAATTCAGAGTGTGCGTTCTGATTCAGAACGTGGAGCTCATTTTTGCCTTGGCAGTTTGCTCTGATAGGTGATGCTAGTGTTGTATTTTTGATCACACAAGAACAAAAATGCTCCCTGGAATTACACCTTATTAATTCTTTGGAAGAAAAAAAAATCAAGAGAAAGGTACAGATGTGAGAGTTGAAAGACTTGAGTTTGCCATTTGTTTAATTACAATAAGAAGTTGTTGTTACGATACATGCTTGTCCCTTCTCTCTGACTTAGGAGTTTGTGGGGGATAAGTTGTGCCCCTATTTTTCTCCAAGTTACAGGAAGAATGGTCTTTTCACTCTTTGTGGAAACACATATGTGTATAGTGGTGGTGGTTGGGGGAGGGAGGAGGGGGCATCGAGTGTGTGTAGGCAGTGGAATTAATCCAGGCATTGTGATCAGTTTCTAAGAATTTCAATTATAGAGACTTATTCCTAAAATGAATCTAGAAGTTAACTAGTCTAACCTCATTTTATGAATGAGGAAATTTGGACTTGTAGAGAAAGTTACTCACGAAGGTCACACAACTGGTTATAATGACTGAAAAGTTGTTTACAATGCTTGATTTAACATGGTCTGTAACACATACAGATATATGTACACACAGACACACACACCCCTTATATATCAAAGGCTCAAAGAATTTTAAGATATTGTTAGAGGAAGGGTAGATGATAAAGGTCAGACCAAGGTTATCATGTTCCTTTCCAAGGCCGCTGTTCCTGCCACTCTGCCTCCAACTGTGCCTTCTTGCTGAATCTTCAATCTGACATATAAGCCCCTACTTCTCATCTGCTAAGTCACTGTCTTCCAAGAGTGTCTTCTTTTATTAATGCATCACTGCCGTCATTTATAAGCCAGTCCATGAGTGAGGGATAAGGAGGTCAAGAGTAACCAATTTGGTTATCCACACTAAGTGCAGGACTCTTGTTCTCTTTTATGCCACTAGAAACAAAACAAAGAGAGCTTTTTTATTTGTTTACTATCAATGGCAATAATCGCCAAAGAATTTTCCTTGCAAACTTGGGAGGGGAAATCTGAGACTGTATGTGTGAGCGTGAGAATGTCTGTGTGTGTGTGTGGTTTTCTTTTGGGAGGTTTTATATAGTATAGCCAGCATATTGTGAAGGCTAAGTTAACATGAAATAATAAAAATAAAATTCATCCCTGCTCCCAAGCTCTGAAAAAAGAATCCATCATAGTAAAAGCTGCAATTGATAGTCCCAGCATTCTTCCCGTGAATTGTCATTCTGTTCTTTTTACGTGATGCTTATCAGCAGTCTCATAGGAGCCAGATGCTCAGCAGGTGCCTTTATACCATCAAGGCCTGGAATACAACCAGGTGTCTTCCTCCTAGTGTGAAGACGATGTGCATTGAAACACTAGTGGCCCCAGAGAACTCATGCATGGAGTAGCTCAGAGTGGGGGGAGCAAAAAACCATTCTCGCTTAGAAGATTTCACATGCTTATGAACATGGTTTTTGGTTCTTTGGAAGGCTCAAGCTGGATATACGATTCATGAGAATTATCCTGAAAAAAGTTGTCTTAGCAAAGCACAGAACTGAAAGAATCTAGCTGCTGATGTGTACATTTAATGTGTTATTTCTTTTTTGCCCAAAAAAGTTTGTAAATGATAGTGCAACTTAGAATTAATGACATCAGAGAAGTAGGCTATACAGGTGGTTAAACATTTGGATGACAGCCAAACTTATGGTTTATCCACATTCTGGTGGAGTCTTGTCTTATTTCAGTGTGTGTTGTCTGTACTAGCCTTGTTGCCCATTGGGCCTTCCAGTTCCCACAGTGAGGTTGCCTCTGCACCGTGTTGCCGGAGATGGTTGGGTGGTCTTAGTTGTTAATTTTGGGAATGAGAGCAGATGTTCATGCTGTGCTAACTGTTCTCTTGTTTCAGTGCACGAAGGCAGCCCTCTGGGTGAGCTCCATCGTTGTATCCGGGAGGGGGTGAAGGTGAACGTTCACATCCGCACTTTCAAGGGACTGCGGGGCGTCTGTACGGGCTTCCTCGTTGCATTTGACAAGTTCTGGAATATGGTAATTAAGCCTTTTTCAAGGGGCTGGAGAACCTCCTAGGGATTAAATCTTTTATATGTCTAAAGGACCTGAGTAACCTTGTTCCACCAAACCCTACAGAATAGCTTTCCAGAGGAACTAGAATCTTTGCACTCTCTTGGCCAACAACGACAAAGTTCTTTTTATTGCTTCATTTTCCTTCAGGCAGTGGCTTTCAGCTGGGGCAGTTTTGCCCTTCCCTCCCTCCTGGGGACATTTGGCAATGTCTGGGGACATTTTTTGGATTGTCACAACTGTGGGATGGAGTGCTACTGGCATCTAGTGGGTAGAGGCCAGGGATGCTGTTGCACGTCCTATAATACACAAGACAGCCCCCAACAACTAAGAATTATCCAGGCCAAAGTGTCATTAGTGTCAAGGTTGAGAAACCCAGACTTAAGGAGTAATTACTTATTTCATCTGTTTAGTAATTTTATATTGATTTCCTAACAACCATTGTTTCATTCATTTAAAAATATACATTGACTTCCCACTTGGGCTGGGCACAGTGCTAGGTACAGAAATTTCAGAAAGGAGCTTTCACTCTGTAGTTTTGGGGACGATAGGTAAGAATAGATGGGAAGCTGACATATTAGTAAGCAAACTACTTTTCATGGTGTTTCCTTATGAAGGAGTGTACCACGCACTCCCAGGCATCTAGGGGTGTTTACTGGACATTTGTAGGAGGAAGAGATGTGTCATAGCACAACAATAATATGAGGCAGTTAAAATAGGAGCCACCAGGGCTTTCAAGTGCTTCTTTTCCATATAGTCTTCCATCTCTGACTTTTCTTTTCACTGTGCTTTATCTCCATCCATACATTCTCTTGGACAATAATAATAGTTGCTGATATTTATTAACACTGGCTATGTGCCAGATACTATGTTAAGGACGTTATATATATTATCTCAATGAGTGAGTTGAAGGTCTATTACTGTTCCATTTCACAAATGAAGAAGTTGAGGCTAGAGATAGTGGAAGATTGGTCCCAGATCGCACTGTCAGTAAGTAGAAGTACCAGGACTTGATCCCAGGTCTTTCTGACTCCTAAGACCATGTTTTCAACCATATGGAATCAGAAAACCTGGGTTTGAAGCCAAGCTTTACCACCTGGTAGCTGTGTGACTCTGGGCAAGGTAATTTCCCTCAGCCGCAGTTTTTTCATCTCTAAAATGTACAAGAGATATTTTATTATAATTTTACCTTTAAGGAGGAAGCTTTAAGAGAATATACTTGATGACAGGGTTGGTAATAATTATACTGCCAGCTTATATTTGTAAGATGATTTATACTTTTCAAAGTAATTTCTCATACACAATCTCATTTGATTCTAACACCTGTCCTGTGAGGTTGATCTCTCAGCAACAAGAATTCACCAGCAATTCTGTGTGCAGCTCTGGTTCATCTCTGTTAATTGCTGTCATATGACATAGAAACTGAAGAGGGAAAGAAGCAGTAGGTTTTCTCAGAGTATCGTCTAAGACATCAGAATCATGGGGTTTCTGTTCAGAACAAAAAGTTTCTGGGCTTCATCCCAGACCTACTGAGTCAGAATCTCAAGGAGAGTAGCCTTGGATTTATAATTTAATAAGCTTCCTAGATGTTTATGCTCACTGAAATTTAAGAACCTCTACCACACAGTTGTAAATGCCTCTTAGCATAGAAGAAACCCATCTTATATTGTGGTAGTGGCTTGGAAATCCTACTCGGAGACTGCCAGGTATTCCCATTTTTTCCTGACCCAGAGGTGAGTCACCTGTTAAGTTTAGTTTGCTACAATTAGATGTTATTCTGCCTTTTAAAAATTTTCCTGAGAGCTGTAAAAGTAATATCTTTAATTCTGCCTCATTTTTTCCCCTTTGGGCTGTTTCTCTAGGCACTTACTGATGTGGATGAGACCTACCGAAAACCTGTTCTAGGCAAGGCGTATGAACGGGATTCTTCACTGACTCTCACTAGGGTAGGCAGTTTCTCCTGACTTCCTGAGCACCCAGCATGCTTTCAAGCTTAGGAATTAAGATCACCAGGGTTTCCTAGCGGGAAAGCCCTGTTGCTGTCAACCAGGTATGCCTGGACCAAGGTCTTCATTAGTCTCTCTTCTGTGCATCCAGCTAATCTCAAATGAGTCTGTGCTTCTGACTGGTATATTGTTTGAGCAACAAGTTCCATCTTATAAGGCTTAAAAGTCTTTCAGTTTTATACCATAGAAATAAGCAGGTGCCTTTTCTCTTGACATACTTATTGATGTATCTGAGTTGTGACTAGAAGTTGAAAATTCATTATGAAATTTTTAAAAATTGCAAAGCAAAAATTCCACAGAGCACAATTAAGGAATCTGGTCTTTTTTTTATGTATTAAAAGAGAGATGTTGAAGGCCAAAGAGAAGGCTAATATTTGTCATTGCTTTCCTTATAGCTATTTGATCGACTAAAGCTTCAAGATTCCTCCAAGAAGGAAGCAGATTCTAAGTCTGCAGTTGAAGACTCCACTCTCTCCAGATACTCCCAGACATCCACTTGGAAGGTGGCTTCAGTGTGGGGAAGAGGAGACACCGACCGGGGCTCACACAAACGTTCCCGCTCCGTCCCTTCTTCCCTGCAGGCCTCTACAAGGGAGGAGTCCAGGTCAGAGCTGTCAGGGAGGACTACACGGACAGAAGGGTCAAGTGTGGGAGGTACCTTTTCCAGGGCTACCACCCTTTCCAGGGGCCAGCCCCGTAAGAAAAAGCGAAAGCCCAAAGTGGATTACCAGCAGGTATTCACTCGACACATAAATCAGATTTTCATTCGAGGTGAGAATGTTCTGCTGGTTCATCTTGCACAGTGACCAGCTCAGCTTCCCTTGAGCTTTGGTTTTTAGAAATAAAATGCATGAATTGCTGCTATGCCATATCCTAGTATCCCAGTGAAACTCTGAGTTGGAATGATTCCCTCTGGTCCTGCACATGCAGAGTATAGAGCTGGGCTCGGGCCCTCTGGGAGGTGAACTCCCTGAAGGAGAGACAGGCCTTGGGAGGGTGGGTGGGTGTTTGCATTAATATCAAGGCAAAAGCTGTACAGAGGTACATGCATCTGATTTGGTATCATGGTCTACTTCAGATACTCAAACCAAATATAGGATCTTCCGTTTGAATTAGGGGTCATGGTATGACTTGAATTCACTCTACAGACACTGTAGCATCGGGGAGAAAAAACCACCTCAAGAAAGAATTATCTCATTTCTAAAAGCTGGTACCCTGAGTACTTGGGGATTTGATTCTAAGAGCAGCAGTATGAACTGCCCTGGAGGCCTGCACCCACATCTTGTAACTGACATTTGAATTTTGCTCTACACCATTCTCTGTTGATCAAGAAATGTAATTTATTATCTTTTAATATCTATAATATCTCAGAAAGCTACGAACTTATGTAAGAGTGAAATTTGGATAGATAGTATGCTCAAAGCAGCCAGCAGTGAATGCTGTTTTATCCCTCTCCTTGTTATTGGTCTTCTCCTTACCAGAGGTAGCTTCTGCGAATGGCATACCAGATGGGACTGTAAGATGCTCGTGTGGTGGCTTCTTGTCTTTCTCTCTCACTTCTGTGGCATGGTGCTAGTGCATGTACCCTGAGTATTGCCCCTCTGTGTGTGACCTGTCCTGTGAGCTTTATGGCAGGAGACTGTGACCTTCATGTCTGGCTTTAAAGAGTTCTGCATGAACTCAGTGATACCCATGCATCACACGACTGAGAGTCCCCTTTCCAGGCAGGGCTGGCCCTGTGTAGAAATCTTCCCAAATGGTTTTCCATGAAACAGTGGTGGTGGTTTTATTCCCTTGTGTCGGGCCAAAGAGGTTCTCACAAAGTGCGATGGGTGGTGTCTGTAAGGGACACTTGACTCACAGCCTGGCTCAAGTAACAGGAACCTCGTGGCACCCCCTAGTACTTCTACTTGAATCTTATTATATGCTTTCTCAATCACCAGTGCAGAATAGGCTATATCTTGACATAGACTGTTAGGCAATATTGATTTTTTGTTTTGTTAGTTTATATTTGGTTTTATTTTAGATAACTTATGTTCAAAGTGAGAATGAGAAATAGCTAACTAGTTAAAATGTTTGAAAAGAGAAATTTCCCCTGCTGTATTTTTTGTGTAACTTAGATAAGCCTTCTGAGCAGCAGGGTGAATAAAGTTTGTGGAGCTAGGATGCCCGGTCCTTCTGGCTGGGCCGCTGGCTCGTGGGTCAATGGAAGGAGAGCAGACGTCAGCCCTCTGTGCCTCAGCTTTTCCCCATCAGACACCTACCTCACAGGAGCACTGAAACAAAGAATTTTAGGAAGACGTTTTAAAGTCTCCAAATATCTTTAAGTGCCATGAGTAATTTTTACTAACTCTGTTGCATTGCTTGGTAAGAATTCTATGTCTTGTGAGCAAGGCAGGTGCTACATAAGAGGGTAATCTCTGTAGGTGTCATAATGATGATCTTGTTGTGACCAGAAGGCAGTGATATCTTCAGGAACTGTCTCCCATAGTCCATTCCTTTCTCCTAAAGGACAGTGGCAGATCTCAGAATATCTTCAGTGAGAGGAGAGTAACATTTCGGTGCTGCTCCCCCCACATCCCAGCTCCCACCCTTTTCTGATCATTATCAGAGAGAATTCCCCTGAACTTTTCAAGGGGTTCATGTGATAGTACCAAAGGGAGAATGTGCATCTAAAAATGACACATCCCCAAAGGGGAATTTGTGGAATTTTTTTTGTTTTGTTGTTTGTTTGTTTTTATTTTTAAATGCATTTTGAATATACCCTTTAGAGCCAGATCAGGTACACTAAACATTTAGAGAGGTTCCAAGTTACAAACTCAAGTGAACAATTATCTTTGGAATCTGCCAATCTAAATTCCCTTCTAAATAGTGTGTCTAAAATCTCAGTTCCCCAACTAATATGATCTTGTTCAGTTATCAGGCACCCCTCCCTGTCCCTCTTTACCAGTCTCCTCCTTTTGGCTGTGCCCATCTGTCTGCCCTCTTGTCACTCAGCTAGAAGCTATCATGGATACTAGATTTTCCCAATAAAGTAGAAATTTGGAATTAAAAGGAGTATAATCAGTTTCCATTTATTCTAGTGCCTGATTAAATCTAACCTGATTTATTTTAAACACATGCCAGTTTTTGTATTTGCACATAATTTTCATATATCCATATAAGGATTGATTTACTACTTTTCTGCCCAGCTTAATTCTGGCTCTAAAAATTATATTAAAACTGTGTGTGATCTGCCATATGTCCCCATTTGCCCCCATTTATTTATTTGATTTGGACAGTGATTCTGGAATGAATACTATCTAGTAATGTGCTATTTTATACAAAGCATGATAATTATTTTTTAGATAAGTCAGTTTTTTTTAATTATTGTCTTTATTATTGGAGAAATTTTTCAAAAGGAAGAAAAAATAGGTCCTAATCATGTATATGTTGTTCAAAAATATGATCATCTAGGACATTATAGTAAGTTGCTATGGAAATAAATGAAGTCTTCCTCAGAAGAAGGAAAGTAACAGCCAGAGTGGTAGAGACCTGGAGGCCCCCCACCAGCTCACCTGAGGGGCTCTTAGCAGCTGAAATGCGGCAAAACTGGTTTCTAGTATTCTCCAGGGATTGGGGCTTGGGACACTTGGTAGGAATAGTACTTATTTTTGAAAATCCAACTTTGGTTCTTCAAAGTAATCTCTAGACATGGGAACATGTTTTCAAGACAATTCACAGGGCACACCTGTGCACTTGAGGTCTTCTCAGGAGTATCCAACTTCGTTAGGTAATAACAAGGGATTGAGAAACGGAAGGTTTGGTTTCATGCTCAGAACGATTTCATGTGCCATTGTTTGTACCTAGAGGTGATCCTGCTGCTCTACCACTAGGCAAACTTGCACTTCAGGTGGTTTGTTCTAGTATTTGGGAAGCATTTATGCTTCTTTTCAGAGACCATCTTGTATGGAGGTGGGCCATTTGTGACGTGATAGCAGAGTTAGCAGTGTCAAAGGCAGGTGGCTTTAGACCAGTTGGTACCTTGCTCTGTGCGTGATGCATGTCAAGTCAGAAAGCCTAGAAACCATTAACATGAAAGTTTAGGTGCCTAGAAATCCTTGCTATGAGTTGTTAGTGGATTGAGAGGGGCTCCATCTATGCTCCTGGTGAAGTATTCCAGGAGTACCTTTAGAGATAGTCAGATCATGAGCTATGAGCTGCCCTTAATCCTCAGAAGCCTTACAGAAATCTAGGTGTACCACTTCTACCCCTTGAGAAAAAATAGAAACCTAGCTTGATGCAGAGTGGATATTTGTATTTCTATTTGCACTATTCCCATAGCAGCTGACATGGGCAAAATCATGAAATAAAATTGGTTCTGTAAATTACTTCCTCAAATTTTCTCTAAATTTTGCCTTTAGGAAAAAATTAAAATTATTCAAAGACAGCTAGCTGTCACTGGTGCTGCCCCAAAGCTTTCCAGTCTTTTATGTATTTTTTATGAATGAAATGGTTGCTGTGGGAAAGTCAAGGTTCATGTAAAAGTATCATGGTATAAACGTAATGCTTTTGTAACTTTTCATTTTTCTTTTCCTGTGCCAGATATGGAATGCAGTTGACCCCTTTTCAGTAGCTTCTGTTTGTCAGCCTGTGTTTTCCTGGGCAGAAGGCTTTTCTTAGTGATTGTAAAGCAAGAAAATCTTATCTAGGCCGGTGTTGCAAAGGTGGGTGGTCGGTCATTACTTTCTAGGAAATTGAGTGATGGATTTAAGATAAGCCTTGGGGTTCCTGTCACAGTTTCCTGGGCTCTGAGGAAGGGTTGCACCTCCTTTACTCTCAGTGTTTTGAGTATTTTTTGGATGTTTGTAAGTTCTCTTGCACTCCTCTAATAAAAATGAAAGCTCTCTGTCGAGAAATGGCTTTGGATGGTTCGGAGATCTAGGGGAAAAGAAATAAGTACACCTGAGACCTCCAGTTGGTCTTTTATTTATTTAGAATAAAAAGTAGTTTGATAAGCTACCAGAGTTAGTGCTTCTTTAAAAACACTCTCTGAAAAGATGGGAACTGTCCCTCAGGAAAGCTATAAAAGCTATTCCCAATACATTGCAATTGCTTTTGATTTTTAGTCCTTTGGAGCAAATGTCTGATGTTATGTCTGATGTTATGTTTTTAGAGCTGTGGGGAAAACAAGGTCTAAAAAATGTTAAGGGGTATTATTTAAGCAACTACGTGTGTGCCAGGTTCTAGGGCAGCTGTCCAGTTCTTTTTCTGTAGTCCTGACAGTAAAGCAGATAATAAGCGATGTCTTGAAAAGTGATTTGCTTATTTCATACTGACAGCTAAAGACATTAACCTTCTGTTTGGCAACCCTGGGGATACCCCTCTGCACCGTGACGTATTAATGCTTTTTTAGACAAAGCTGAACCTGGACGACTCTGTGTATTTATAGTTTCACTATTCATGTACCAGCTGCTAAAAGAAAAACCATGACTTGTAATCTTGTCTTGAAATTACTCCTAATTGTTAAGTTCACCTAAACCCTTCCTGTTTAGGGAAGATTGCTGCTAGTTATGTGTTCTGCTTTAGGTGTGTGTCATATGGGAGTCTGGGAACTGTAATAAATATGATTGTATTCATGTGCTGCCTGCTTTGTCTCTGCTGATCTTGGGGGGGTGGAGGGGAAAAGGCAGGGGAGCCTGTTACCAAGTGAAGACGCCGACCTAGAAAGTGAAAACATCTCAAGCCCTCTGCAGTCTCCTTGTTGTAACCTTGTGCCTTTTCTTTACCAAAGCCCACACATCTAGATCACTATCCTTGAGGTAGCTTTGTTCTTCCGAGTTTATTTGAAGTTCATGCTTAGAAAAGGAGGTTGGCTTTTGCCAGTTTTACTATCATATGCCTTGTATGGTGACGGACAAAAATTAGACTACTGGTGGTGAGCACGATGAAGTCTATTCAGAAATTGATAAATAATAATGTGCCCCCCAAATTACACAGTGTTATAAACTATTATGATATCAATAAAATTACTGGGAAAAAAAAAAGAAAAGGAGGTTGGCCCGCATTGTGAATTATCTCTTCTAATCCCCAAGCAATGGTAATTGCCCTGTGAATTTATTCTACCTAATAGCTCACTGGCATTAATGCACTCTCTTCACGATCTGCTGAGATCACCATTGACTCTGCTCCCCTTTGAGAGTTTTACCACATTTGACTAATTGATCCTCACATGGTTCCAGAGTTATCTGCTTTTGCCACCAGCGTTCCTCTGTGCGTGTACAGGAAGTTGAACTGCCCAAAGATTTGCCACATCGATTACTTGATTCCCTCTGTGAGCCTCCAGAACTGAGTCACCTGGGCAAAGTGGACAAACAAAAATCACATTGATTCTTAGAGAGGAAACCTCAAGTTAACCGTCAAGACCCAGTTCCCCACTTTCAGAGAACACATTAAGTCGGGCTTGGCTGACATATGGGAAATTCTCACCACCGCAGTGAGGAGAGGGAGGCAAGACCCACAAGCTCTAGTTCAGGCTCTTGCTTGTTTTGTATCTCTAAGACTCCTGATTAAATGAGAATGTCCTCATTCATCAAAATAAAGGCAAAATAGTCAGCTAGCTTGATATTTAAAATGTACAGTGACAGTTAAATATTGGCAGGGGAGTGGAGGCCAGTGGAATGAGATGTATCTATTTCCCAATGCTTCCTGGAGAGGAGTGGCACAGGAAAAAAAGTTCCTCCCCCAACCACCCTCCCTCCTTGGATATAAGTGAAGCGTTTTTCAGTCTGCTCAGTTACCACTAGGTGGCAGTGGGCTAAAGAGAACTGCTTACCTAGAGGTCCCGGAAGGACCAGAGTCTCCAGCTCTCCAGTCACTGCTGCAATCCATTGTTCAATGCTCTCCTGTCTGGACTGAAACAATCAAGGAAAAACAAGCTATAACCAACCCAAGTGGCGATTTAAATGTTTCTTACCAATATTGAATTTACCTAATTTAAAGCTTAGGAAGGCTGACTGATGACAATCAGTCAGTGAATGTGCTTGGAGA